CAAGAGTGTGAGCACTAAACTGGCTTGTACTGTACATTTTTTTTGTCTTAACTTCTCTTGTTTTTTTATGCATCTGTGTGTCGTTACTAACCTCCCTCCCCCTTAACGCTAACACCTTTTAAAAGCCTATCCAGGGACGAAGGCTGCAAATTAGCCCATGGCTACAAGCCTTATGTAGTTGGACATCGGCCACCTGTTTGGTTGCAATGTTTAATTGTACTGTCCCTGTCAAATAAACAAATAACAAATAAAAAACAGCTTAAAAAGGACCTCGTCTATTTATTTATTTTACAATTTTATAGAAAACAGCTGCAGATGGATGTTACAACCTTGGCATGAACATTTGAGTTGTTTTTAGCAAGAAATCGATCAGAAGCGCCGTGAAAATGGTCCCATCCACCATGTCCGCCTCTCTGGCTTCAATGCGTGGAGAAGAAAGCAGAATTTCATCGGGACAAACAACGTCTGCAAGTCGGTCAGAGCTTCACATCCCTGGGACATCAGTCCGTTTAGCAACAGCTGGTGGTGACAACTTCCTCCTCTGCAGGGGAATGCTACAGGCTGCTTTCCTGCACATGCTGCTACTTCTGCTACCCTCAGGAGTGAGATCCGGGGCTCTGGGGAAACATCCGGGGCTGTAGCCCAAGTAGCCGCCCCCTAGATCCGCCACTGCTACTGGCACATCTAAAGCCATTTTATGGATCTGATAACCTTTAATAATCACCATTTATTGGAATGATAACATCTGAAGCGGCTGCAAGTAGCCACTTAGTATTTACTGAGTAAAAGAAGAGAGATGGAATCAACATGAGGAGGATCCCCATGACATGATGAACAGGTTTAAAAGATTGTTTTTATCCTTCATCTTTGTCTGCTGCCAGATGTTTTCACCTAAATAGAAACATGATTCATTTCCATTCAAGAAATAAACCTGTAATGATTTTTGTGGTCACAACAGGCAAGCCGTTTTGATATGTATTCATTAGGGCTGTCAAAATTAACGCGTTAACGCGAGATGATTAATTTCTGTTATTAACGCAATATTTTTTTTTAACGCAGTTTTATGTTTTACCCATAATGCAATTGTCCGACATGAGCGAGATGGAGGAATTAGAAGAACCTGTTGGCCCGCTGGATAGACAGTTCGAGTATAAAAAAAAACAAAGACGGGACAATAAATAAACATGTTATGGACTTTTCGTTTCACCGAAGCACTTCAAGCCCTAAATATCATCTTAATGCCAATCATTCCTCTGTCGGGGCTTCAACTTCAGGTGTTACGACACGCATGCGCCAGACCACCCTCACCGAACGCACGGCATTAAGTAACGGTCCGCTTTACGATCAGAAAATGTTAACAGTTAGTTTGCCTTAACAAGTGGCTAAAAGATGAATAAATAATAGATAAAATGACCTCATGTAATTGTTTAAAAGTCAAGCTGTTTGTTTTTAACGAAAAATGTTCCATTAAACCATCCTGTATTTGCTATAAAAAAAAAAAAAAAAGCAATGGCTAAGTTGCCAAAATTGTTGAGAATTAAATTCTTTCTTTGGATTTGTCATTAATGAAAACTAAATGTAATACCAATCTTGCTTATCTTTCTGTTTTGTGTATTTTTCAATAATATTTAGGCTAATGATTAATCAAAATTAATTCAAGAAACCTTGTGATTAATTAGATTAAAAATGTTATCGTTTGACAGCCCTAGTATTCATTTTACTGAATATGTATTCCTGACATCTGAAAAAAAACCCTTTTCCTTGTCAATATCACCATTTCGAACGTAATAGCATTCTTCACATCTAGAATAAGCATTCTGGATGTCTAAAAAATTTATTTCAGATCTCCATATTTCTATTGTTACTGCTCATCATTTATATTATTATTTATTTTCTGAAATTCAGTTTCTTTCTTAAAAAATATAATTTAGAAAGTAAATTATAGTTCAGTCAAGGAGTACGATAGTAATCAAACAGAGAGGAGAGTTCCTTTAATAAATGTTATGTTCATATAAACTTATGATCCTTTGCCATCTTCCTCTGCTTTGCAGCTTTATCAGGGCTCCACTGACCCTGGCTTTTCATGCTTTTTATGCCTGGTTCAGATCTGAGTGGACCTACTTTGCGTTGATTGAACTAATTCATAGCAGCCACTGTGAAACAGGAAATTCAGAGTTCCTGACAATAGACTAGATCAAATTAGAATTGCGGATTTGAATCAGAGTTTGATAAACCTGCTTCATGAAACGGACCCCAGATCTGATTAAAGGTCTGATGCTGGAGGGTCAGATATTCTTCAAGACTCTATTTTTTATTTTATTACTTTCATACAGCTAATCTGAAAGGGAGCCTAGTGACAGCCCTGCTGAGTGGGCAGTAATGAACCGGTTTGGGTGACAGTTTCCTGGCTGAATGTAAATAACAAAGGTCACATTATTTAGGTGTGGCAGGACTGGAGCAGAATGGGCGTCCTTTCTCCACTCTTTCAACTACATCAACCATCTTCAGAAGGTAAAGAGAAGCATTATGGATCAATTTAAAAAGCAGTTTCATACTGAATCCAAACCTCTTTAGAAGGTCCACTCTGTGGCTGTGTGGCTGGCCCACATCTGGCCCGTACAGCCCGGCGTCCCGGTACAGTTTGGACTCTGACAGGATCTTCCTGAGGTGGCTGAAATCCAGTCCGAGCTGGTATCCGTCCACACGGATCCCAGCCTTCTTCTCGTAACTGTTGGGCTCTGTGGACAGATCAGAGCAGATACCATTAGGTGGGGGGTGTCTGGGTTTTGCAGAAGGAAACAGCAGCATAGTCCTCTACAGAGAGCACTGCATGATGATACAGAAGAGAAACTCCTGTGGCAGAGGAGAAACCACAGGGTTTCGTTATTACTCCAACTTTACAGCAATGGTCTGTGAAAAGTGAAGAGAGAAAGAGGAAGTTCCTCTAAGGGGCCTATAAAGTCTTCAGAGCTCAGTTCAGTGCGGCGATAGATCCTCCCATGGTGGCGGCCTTTAACAGCTCTCTGTGTTTCTGTCAGACAGACAAATCTTCAAAGATTTCTACACCTTTTCCAAGAACAATACCTCTAAACCCCTGACTTTATCCAATGACACAACATGCTTCTCTCCCCCACCCCCCACCATGAGTCTGCCACCATATCTAAGATGCGTACTGCTTTGCTGCATGACGCATGACGATGCTTCAATGCCGCCTTTTCTCATGCAGCTGCCCCTTCTTTCATGGCCCGTCTTCTCAAATCCCCAGTCGGCCTCAGCTCAAGGCCGCTCACACCGAGCCTGTTTCTGCTGGAGATGTCACCCTGTTTTCCTCTCCACCTTCACTGCATACATGTTCAGAGTGAGGGTGTCTGCTGCAGATTCAACGACAAGGAGCAAGCGAAGATCTATTTTCAGTACACGCTGCTGCAGTCTATCACTCGATGCAACCAGCCGGCTATCAATAGATAGACTTCTTGCAGCCTTGGCGTAGGTTCAGGTCCTGCTCTGATTGTTGGAAGCTGTACCCAGGCTGGGGGTCATCTGGGCACAGCCCCCCTGGCAAGATTGAGTCACACTGGCTGGTTGGCTCTCTGCATGGTGGGGATGACATGTTCTTTTGCCTCTGGGGGCTCCTGGTCTGGGTTTTGGTCTGCCCCTTTTGCTTGGTGCCTTTCTCCCCCGGCAGAGGGAGGGGAACTGGGTGCCTATTGGGGTCAGTAGGGGAGCAGGCTCCCAAGGATAACCCTGTTCCCCAGATCTTTGCTTCCCAACTTTCCCTGCACCTGCTCTATCACAATACCACACACACAGGTTCTTGGGGAAGAGATCATAACAAGCACATGTCGTCCCTTGGTGCAGGTGGCCTATGCTACTATTTTAATAAACCCCCTACTCAGAACAATTTATAACATCTCCAAGATATCCATATGTAGGGCATCGAGGTGGGCGTATTTGGGGTACTGGAGGTGGGTCAGGCTTTCCGGCTTTGCTTCCAATGCTGATGCCCACCTGTGGTTGTTGTAATGCATTCAGACTGGGGCTGGGGTTGTGGTGGCGCCTGCGGTGCGGTAGGCCCATACTTGGCCTAGGGAGGTTAACTACCTGCCAATGCCTGGATCAGAGAGGACCAAAGTGATGTGTCAAAGACATGGAATGGCTTTGACTGCGTGAGTCAGGGTGGGTTCTTCAGCGGGTTGGATACCTGCTCTGGTGTATGTCAGGGTGGACCTGCGGTTTATGGGTGACCGCCAAGGGGAGTTGTGCCTCCTGTGTGTGGGCCTGGGGTGGTGTTTGGGGCTAGTCCTTGGCTACATTGCTCTCCACCCTATGGCGGTGCCTGGTCCCTTCCCATACTAGGGAGTCGGGGTATCCCCTTCGGGGTCAGTGGGCCTGTTCCCCGGTTGTCCTCAGTTTGTCCTTAAACACCTAGAGGAAGTACCGATCGCTAACTCTGGACAATTCCTCGTTACCTACGGCAGTATCACATTCCAATAAACTGTTTAAAACGTCTCTAGTTGTTTTCTGTTGTCCAGTCACTACAGAATAATCAGGCCAAAAATGGAGCCATCAGCAGATCAACAGTGGCGTGCGGAGAATTCTATCAATGGTAAATGGTAAATGGCATGTACTTATATAGCGCCTTTATTCAAGTCAGGAGACTTGACCATAGCGCTTTA